TTGAAAGTTATAGAAGAGAAATTGAGAAGGAGCGGCAGAATTTGATGTATCAATATTTTTCTGTCGGTTAGCTGAATTCGGGGTTCTTTTTTTTTAAAGAAGGAATAATGGCTCAACTTATTATAATTGTGTAAATACTGAAATGCAAAATTTCTTTATGATTAAAAGCTAATTCAACTCAATACATTTACTTGCTCATGGATTTTTAAAGTACGAATGCGGTCAAATTTTTTTAATGCCAGAATTTTTTTTAGATCTTTTTAGGTCTTAAAAAATTTTACTGTAAGAAATTGGTAATTATCTTATGCATAAACAATTTTTTTTCCTTCTGTTGCCTGAGATTTTTTAATAGATCTTAAATATTTTTACGTCGCTGATTACACATCTGCAACCAATTCCTCTCTCCAAGCTACAACTTTTTAAGAGACATTTTTAGTCAATTTTTTGTAGAAATGTACACGTTTAAAAACTATGTACATACCAAGGGTCAAGTAAATATTGCGGCAAACTTCTAGGAGAGTTATAACACATCACAGCAATTACGTACTATCACTTAGGAGTCCATAGCCAAAGATGCTGCATATGCAGCTTTCATATTACGAATTGTTTCTTGGTGCGCTTCTGAACAGGTCATAATAGCGAAAGTATTTCCAACCGCTTACGATGACATTTCCTGTCATGGGTTCCTATGCAATTCTTATCCTGATGATGTGCCATAACTTTCTTGGAAGTTTGTTACAACATTTATGCTATTCTCTGTTATATATAAAATATTTAAACGTGTACATTTAATCTATAGTAAATAGGATAAAAAGGACATTTAAAAAAATTTTAGCTTTAGGAGCAAATCTTATTTTAGTTTTGAAATTTCAACACCCAAATTAGGCGAGATCAAGTATTTGTTTATATGCAGCACAAGAGTATGTTCCCCAGTGTAACGTATTAACTATGAAATAAAGGCCAGATTCATTTTCGATCTACCATCAGTTTGTAATAGCATAGATTAGGGTTAGAAATAAAGTTTTATTTTATTTTATAAGCGTCGTTAAACAATTGATCCAATTTAGGGTTTACGACTACCAATGTTCAACTCCGTAGCCTTGTAATTTTGAACCCAAACCAGAAGAAAAGGCAACTCCTAGAATCAAGTATTGAGAGAAATTTGTCTTCGTGGAGGACTTTTTGATGGAACTAACCAGTATTTGAGTTACATATGAAGAAGAAATCCTATGATTAGTCTGGTGGAAAGGGGACTTTACCCCATGATCCGTCTACCACAGAGGATATTTTACGTTAGCACTGTGGTCGGTGAGAAATTCTATCGACAGCCATCGATGGGATTCAAACCCGGTTCACCTCATTGGGAGGCGGGCGGTAGATACTCTTACCACGACTCAAAAAATATAATTTTATTTCATTTTATAACCAGCCGACCCAATTTATTGAGTTTAAAACTACTAATGCTCAACTATATGGGCCGGGATAGCCTGGTCGGTAGGGCGCTGGGCCCATATCCTAGAGGTCGTTGGTTCGATCCTCACCGGCCGAAGACTCCCCGTGTAGTAAATGGTGACTGATGCACGTTAAATCTGTCGAGTCTCAAAGTCCTCCATGTTCCCACAACAAATCAATACCTCTGGGGGTACTGATCCAGGAGTTTCCTTGTCTTCTGGATTGGTTCAAAATTACAAGGCTACGGAGTTGAACGTAAGTAGTCGTAAACCCATGAATTTGGGTCGGCTGTTCAGCGACGGTTATAAAATAAAAAAATTATAAAATAATGCTCAACTATGTAGCCTTGTAATTTTAAACCCAATCCAGAAGACAAGGAAGCTTCAGGATCAAACATTGGGAGAAATTCGCCTTCGTGAAGGACTTTTTGATGGAACTAATCCGCACTTGCGTTACATTGAGAGGAAAACTACGAAAACCTCCCACTGTTAGCCTGACGGCAAGGGAACTCTAACCCATGATCTATCCATCACTGAGGATATTTTACGTCAGCACTGTGGTCGGTGCAAGTCGGCTGCGAGGTGCAATGAGGTGATACGAACCCGGTTCACCTCATTGGAAGACTAAAGCTCTATCCCCTGAACAGCCATCATGGCTCAAAAAAATAATATAGTTGTAAAAATTAATGTTAACCCAGTTGGAGTAATTACAAATTCTCTGAAAGCGAATAGGAGAATAGCAAACTTCCGGTGTATCTTTCCGCCACAGTCTTATTAGTGAAGCAAATCTTAATAAATTTATCTTAATCCATTATCTTGATAAATTTGATTATCTAATAATGATTTAATATTGAATGTAATATTACAATTCATGAGATGTTTCCCATTTTATAAACTTTATTGAAACCATAAATTTTATTGAAACTTTATTGGAACCAGTAAACATGAATTTTAATTAAAAAATTAAAATTATTGCATAAATGAATTATTCAGTCAATAAATTTCAACCATTCTAAATAAAAACCATTCTAAAAGTCCCGCAGTGGACTGATCGTTAAGACACGGTTACCAGTAAATCACCGAAGTTAAGCATCACTGGCTGCGGTCAGTGTGCGGGTGGGTGACCACTTGAATCGGTCTGCGTAGGGACCGAGGGTGTGCGGTATTGGTACTCGTTAAACTGTTCGATCGCAAAGTGCTCGACTTCGCGTGCAGGTCGTCAGGCTACTGAAGCGGGGGTGGCATCCCCTCTGCAGAGGATCAAAATTGTTGTGGCATGTCTTCGGATCATCCTCAGGGATGTTTCCCAGACCATCGCCAAAAGCCCATTGTGCAGCTCTAGCACGACGTAAATGAACAACAACAACAACAATAAAAAAATAATACAGATGTTGTTGTTGTTGTTGTAGTTCATTTGCGATGCACTAGAGCTGCACGAGGGGCTATTGGCGACGGCCTGGGAAACATCCCCGGATGATCCGAAGACATGCCATCACAATTTTGATCCTCTGCAGAGGGGATGACAACCCCGCTTCGGTAGCCCGACGACCTGCACGCGAAGTCGAGCATTTTACGGTAGAACAGTATAACGAGGACCGATACCGCACACCTTCGGTCCCTACGCAGACTGATCCATGTGGTCACCCACCCGCACACTGACCACTGCCAGTGATGCTTGACTTCGGTGATCTGCTGGGAATTGAGTCTTAACGATCAGTCCATTGCGGGACAAATTAATATAGAAGGGAATAAACACGCTAAAAGACAAGAGAATGCGCCCCCTTAGAAATTCAATAAAATAAGTACTAAATTATTAATATTATATACAAAATGTATTGTTTTAATAATATCTTTAAATAAATTACTAATACTTTATTTTAAGTAATTATAATTGATATGTGTTACGTGTAACATTGTATCAACTCCACTTCATTATCTCTGCTCAAAATTTGCATTATTAAATTTATTATAACAATTAGATTATATTTTTTCGTTTATATGAAGATATATATTTAAAAAATACAGTTTGCTTTTTTTTTATAATGGCAGGTTTTGAACTTTTATTTCCTTCGCTCAGAAAGATGCCGAAAGTATTACTCATTTAACGTTACCCAGTGGGCACCTGTGAACCTAATAAGTAACGGAGGCGATCAACATTACCAGCGCTGCTACAGATACCCGTTTATTGGGTGGGCCACATTCACACATCACACAATAGAGAACAACACAGTGAGAAACATCCATGCCCTGAGCGGGATTCGAACCCACAGCCATTGCCTTCGCATACTTTGATAGTAAATAGAAAAAAATAGTGAAACCCTAGAAATAACTGTTTTCTCTTTTGTTCTCGTTCTCAACTAGATAATTTTTTTAATATAACCTGATTTTTAACAATATTTTTATAATGTTTTAAAATTTTGAGATTGTTAAAAATGAATATTTTATTAGAAATTATTAGTTTATTATTTTTAATTGAATTATTGAAATCGTTTGTAAAATGTTGATACCCGTAGATGTAAAAATATTTTTCAGGGAAAAGAAATGCATAACTTTTCAAAATACTAATTAATAATTTCCCTAGTTGCAACTCACTAAGAAACTTTTTGTGGGTACTTTAAAATACGACTCTTTAAAGTGAATACCGTGGCTCAGAAAGAAATTTCAGATAGTATCCGACATCACGGAATAATTTTATTGGATTGGTATATTGGATTTACGTATATTTGCTGGCTTGATAGCTCAATTTTAGGTATATAAACCTTTGTCAAATCGAAGGACAGATAGCGCAATACAGAGAATTACAGCACGAGGATACATCCAGGGTAACAGTAACAGCGGGATTCGAACCCGTTACCTCCACGCTTTGCACAAAGTTTGGCGAGCAATACCGCTCGGCCAGGGAGATCACGGAATAATTTTATTTATTGCTTTATTGAAATGAGTCCCGCAGTGTAATGATCGTTAAGACACGGTTCCCAGCAGATCACCGAAGTTAAGCATCACTGGCTGCGGTCAGTGTGCGGGTGGGTGACCCACTTGGATCAGTCTGCGTAGGGACCGAGGGTGTGCGGTATCGTTAAACTGTTCTACCGTAAAGTGCTCGACTTCGCGTGCAGGTCGTTGGGCTACCGAAGCAGGGGTGCCATCCCCTCTGCAGAGGTTCAAAATTGTGATGTCTTGTCTTCGGATCATCCTCAGGGATGCGTTCCAGATCGTCGTCAATAGCCCATTGTGCAGCTCTAGTGCGACGTAAATTAACTGTAACTTTTTGAAATGACATACATTTGTAGGCCTATGTGCTCAATTTAGGCTTACAAACCTTTGTCAAGTAGAAAGACAGATAGAACAGTTCACGAAGATACATCAAGGGTTACGGGGGATTCGAACCCGCTACCTCCGCGCTTTGCACAGCGTTGGCGGGCGATACCGCTCAACCAGGGAGGCTCCAATTTTATTTGTTTCTCACAATTAACGCAACTTATGCAAATTTGGTTAGCCATCGGCACTAAATCTCCAAAGAGATCATGAGGTATTGGAGGTATATTGGAAGTTTATTCTAGCCAATCACAATGAGGCTGTCTATCGGGACGTCATCAGATACGTCATTAATGTAGAGTGATTAATTACACATCGCCAGCACAGCCTGCCCACATCACCAGTGCAGAAAGACATATTTTAGAGAGTGATATAACTAAATATACACGTGCTGTTACAAAAAATTAAAGGTTGAACGTGATACGAGAAAATTCGGATTTTCTTCTTCAGTGATTTATTAAAAGGTGAAGTATCATTATAGGTAAGAGGAATCATTTAGTATTAAACTATTAAATATAGCATATTATTAATATATTTTTATTAAGATGTTGAAAAACTTTTATTTCTTATAAAGACCTAGTAACAGCTTCGTACACATTATTTTTCCATTATAGTCTTTTTCATTTTCAGTATTATGATTCATGTAAAAAATACTTTAACAATAAATCAATTTTTCTTTTTATTTTACGCACTGTTTTTAATATTTTCTCAAATGAATATTTTCTTTCTGAGTACACCCTTTTTTTTCTTTTTTTTGTTCCATAAATTTAATTTTTAGTGTTACGATTGATATAGATAACGCTTTAATTTAAAAAATTATTTCTAATCTTTCTTTTTCTATAAAGAAAACTTTGACATTAATATTTTCTCAAAAGTTTATTTTGTTTGTGCACGCGTTATTTTTCGCATTCCTATCTTTTTTTTCTAATTCATCAAATGTAATTGCGTTTCTCTTTTAAAGAACAATTTAAAAATTATTTAGGTTTTACTTTATTCTGATTTCGTTATAGAAAATTTGTTAAGTTAAGAAGAAAGTAATTATATAAGAGAAGAATTTTTTTTCTTCTTCCCTGTCGTTAAATGTTTGCCTTATGTTAAATTTCGCTTTTAGAAGAATTATCGAAATCATGAATTATACAGTAAAAATGAAATGTGTTCTTCAAGTCTTTGAGCATTCATAATTTCAAATGGCTTGCCAAACAAATCGTAAGATTGAGTGAATGCTATGTAGAATATATTATTATCAAAATATAGAATTTCTCTTTGGTTATTTTGGTATTGTATACAATATTATTTTGGAAAACAAGTTAATAGACTGAATAAAACATTTTAGATGTTAAGTATAAATTATATATGTTAGGTATAAATTATACTGCAAAAATGAAATAAAAACTAATAGACTCTGTATGTATTCCTTAAAACATTCTTCCAGCAGTCATAATTTTAAATTAGTTACTAAACACAGCGTAAAAATGATTGTTTTGTGCAACATATTAATTTTTATTTAAATATTTCTTATATTATTAATTATTATATTCCTTTTAAATTATTATGGTATTGTATAAGATACTATTACGAAAAATAAGTTAATTGCTTAGGAAAAAATTCTTTACATGTTTAAGAAGCCCATGGATTTTACTTTGAAAAAAGTATACTTTTTTTTTCATTATGCTTTTTTCGGACGCTGAACATGAATTTACATTTTGTGATCAAAATTTTCTTCCGGGGAGAGTTCTTTTTGTAATTATTTACAATATTTTTATTTTTATTTTGGCTTGAGAACTACTGAGTATTTACAACACAATCTAAACCTAAAGAATAGATGCATAGTTGCCAACTGTACTGTTTTTTTTTTCCTTTCAGTTTATTCAAGTCTACAGCCTTTAGTTTATCCTAATCGTCTTTATTTTTCTCTGATCTTATTGTTGAACAACTTTTTCTTTAATTATGCGGATTGTTAGTTACGCAGGCGATAGGTTTTGCTTATTTTAGCTGTAAAAAATGTACACTGCGCAAAAACAAATAAACGCACCAACTTAACTTTTGACCTAATGATTAGATCTTCACGTTTTGCAATCTTAATCATTTAAAGGAGTGAATTAAATATGCTAATTAAATCGTGCAACGATATTTTAAGTTACGAAATCAGACTCAAAAACGTACTTTCTCTGAATAAACATAACTTTTATTCGACGGGATCATATTTCTTACCTTCAAACTATAGCCCAAACAGTTGGGTCAGGAGTAGTCCAAAGTTTGAACTCTTTGTTAATTTTTAATTCTTGCGTATTTCACCAAATCTGGAGGATGAGCAAATTTTTAAAAAAAATTTACACACAGTGCAAGTTTATTGATCCTAAAATTAATTCCATGCAAAATAAAAATTTTAATAGATATTTATTTTATTTAACAGTAATCGAAAAATTTTTGAATTGTAACGTATAAAATTTTTTAACATAATTATTAGGGAAAGTAATGTCAAATCAAAATCTGAACTAAAGAACTTTAATCTAATTTTAAAAATACGACTAATGCAAAATTTGACTATTCAAGGGATTTCGCTCAAATTGTGTATTTTACATATATTCTTTAAAAGTGTGTAAGAATTATATACCTAGCAATTTAATTTCTTTCCGACTTTTATTAAATTAAATAATAAAAAACAATAATAATTTACTTAACGTTATATTTTGTGTGGATTTAATTTTGGATAAACGAATTTTAAAATTGTCTGCTAAGAAATTCGCTTTAAAGTTCTCGATCAGGTGAAGTACGCAAAAAGTAAAATTTACATTAAAGGGGCCAAAATTTGGACCGCTCTCCTGATCAAACTATTTTAACCATATTTCTCAGATTGAAGTAACCCTCTATATTCCAGGGGTCAGAAATCGGAATCCGTCGGGGGAAAAACCGAATGTTTGTTCAGAAAAATTAGATTTTTATGTCCTGGTTTCATAATTTTGAATATAGTCTGCTGTAATCAATTCCTTCCTTCCTCAATGGCACGACAGCCCCGGGTGGGCCCTGGCCTTCTCAATAAACTTCCTCCAGGCCTGCCTCCGCCTGGCAGTTGTCTTCCAGTTTGAGACTTTTAAGACTGAAGTCTCTTTCCACGCAGTCGGCCCATCTCATCTTTGGTCGACCTCTGGGCCTTGATCCGATGGGCTGAGCCAAAAAGATTATGTTTATCGAACGCTCTCTGTTCATTCGAATGATGTGACCAGCCCATTTAATTCTTTGGATTTTTACATACTTGACAGCATTAGGCTCTCTAAAAGCCCGATAGAGTTCTGAGTTTGAACGTCTGTATCAAGTACCATCAACTTGTTTGCCCCCAAAAATGGATCTTAGGATCCGACGTTCGAAGATTCCCAAGGAATTCTCATCTTTCTGTGCTGTTGTCCAAGTTTCTGAGGCATATGTTAGGATAGGTCTGATTAAGCATTTATAAATTAACAGTTTAGTATCTCTTTTTAGTAGGTTTGATTTTAAATATTTTTTTAATCCATAAAAACATTTACTTGCACTATTGATTCTTCTTTGTATTTCGGGTGCGATATTGCCATTAATGTTGACTTCAGAACCAAGATAAAAAAAACTGTTTACTTTTTCAAACTTGTATGCACCAATTGCTGTAATAAATTAGTTTACTTAAATCCCCCCCCCTCTCGAGCCTTTAATATTGAATCCTAAAACGTTAAGATACGATTATTAGATCAAAAGTTATTCGTGGTGATCCGTTTTATGTTGCACACTGTACATTATATATTTTTCATTTTTTTATTATTTAACATAATATTGTTAGAATGATATTTTCAAGTTTTAAGTAATTGTTTATAGTTGCTTAAAACTTAGACAAATACTTTTTAATCTTTTTACGTTTAATTTTTGATTATGGCCCAGAAAAATTTTAAATTGTTTCACCATATCGTAGGATATCTGCTTTCATTTTCAAAATGCTTGCGGGTCGATTCTCAGTGTAGGCTCCAATATTTACTTTTGTAATAAATTTTTAATATATTTATACACAACTCGAGATAGTAAGTCTGGTAGCATGAGAATACGGTTTGTTCTAGAATAACTATGTTTAGAATCCTTGCGAAAATGACTCATCTGTTAAATATTGAGGGTCCCACGCTTATATTCTAGTGAAAAAGAATAAAAATGTTTTCAAACTTTGTTTCAAAATATGTTTCAATGTTTTCAAAATATGATCTGAAAGTGCAAAAGGAGACTTATGAAAATCAAAAGAACAATTTATGTTTCCATTAAGACTGAATGTACTATTTTCAAATTACAGATCATCTTTAAATTTCATCTTCGAATAAGATAAGATGATGGATTTAGATAATTTGAATCCTTACTTAGCTTAAGAATTAATTATTGCTTAGAAGCGTTTATTCTTGTCCTTTTTCTCTTAAATATTAATTTGCTTCATTTTACACATTTTACATGGATTGTATAAATGTATATTAAGGGTGTTCATTACGAAACACCCTGTGTAACATTTAAGACCTTACAGTATTTCAGATGCTTTTAATAATTTAGATATGTTCATTCCAAATATTGTTTAAAAAATTTCTTTGATTTCAGGATTTTAAAAAGGAAAACATTTATTATGGGAACTTGCAGATATTGCTTACAAAGTAACCTTTCCCGTTTATATGAGGCCAGACTCAAGGAAAACAGATCTAAGCTAATGAGGGGCAGATGTACTTGTTCCACACAAGAAGGAGCTCCAATTGGAGCTCTTGGAGAAGAGCTTCCAGTTGAGCTCTGGCTCAATGGGGGAAGTAGAAATCGAAGGACAAATAATGGTCCAGTCACCAGCAGGAGACCTCTTAGAACCAGCGATCGAATAAAAAATCGCTCTAGACTTCCAAGTGCAAATCAGCCGATTCAAACGGCAATTCAAACTTCAAACAGCAATTCAACCGATGAGCAGCATGATTGCGTGATTTGTCAAGATGCTGAAACCGACACCGATAAGCAACGATTGCCATGCGGTCATAGTTTTCACAAACTTTGTGTGACCACTTGGCTGGAACTGACTAACTCTTGCCCCGTCTGCCGACAGAAGCTTGACATTACTAATGGTCAATTGGACTTTGGTCAACGCATAGAAAATATTACATTTCGCCTGGGAGTCGTGTCTTCACTACTAAAAAGAACACAGGAAGTGACTTCACTTGTGATGGAAAATGTTGAAAAACAATTAAACGATTTGTCTCGCAATCTGCCCTCATAATGGGCTGTTGTGACTGGAGATGCTTTCTTCGGTGTGCCATTTTATTACAATATCAACCAGAAGCTTACAGAAAATCACTTACCAAATTAATCAGAGTAATTAGAAACAATGAGTCATATTTTTTAAAACTTCACTAGTGTAAAAACAAGATCATTGCAGGGAACAAAATCAATTAATTATTCATCCTATTAATTTGTAAATAACATGTCACGTTGTATTTGTTCTTCATTCTCTTTTAATTTCTTAGTACATTTTTTTGCATGGAACTGTAGAATTTTTAAAAAAGTAAGCCTTACATTTTATAGCTGTAAATATTTTAGGCGATTCATCATTGTTTATCTTATTAATTTGTAAATAAAATGTCACGCTGAAATGTTTATTCTCTTTCTTACAATTTTTTGCACTAATTTTTGAACTGCAGATTTTTTTTAAAATTAAGCGTTAGATTTTATACCTGCAGATATTTTAGACTAGGCGTTGTCGGAGAAGTGCCTTTTACAAAAAAGAACATCTCGCTAAACTCAAGTACCATATATGCATAAAATTAAGGGTGTTCCTGTTTGTTTTTTTTATCATCAATACTAACTGTAAATGTAATGATCAAGCTGCAAATAACAAGGTCACTATAATATCAGAGCTTTCAGATAAAGAAAGTATTTCTTAACTGTACTGAAGTAAAGCTTTAGTTTCTGGGATTAAGTGAAAAATGAACGTTATACTACCTTTTTGAATAGTTTAGCTGAAATGCAAGAAAAATATGCCGAAATATTGAATTCATACACACTCAACTACTATTGGTGGCAAAATTTAAATGCTGATAAATTATCAAATATTTACCATCCAATAGCATATTCACAGCTTGAAAAATTGGGACTAGCACAGAAATTTAAACAATCCTTTTTAGTAATTATTTTATTTATATTGAGCATTAAATTAGACAGGCTTTTTAATAATGATTTTTATTTATATTAAGCGTTAAATTAGACAGTTTATTTAAAACTAGGAGGCTCCGCCACCTGCTCGCTAACGCTCGCCAACCCCCGAGAATTGCTACGCAATCGTATGTGGTTCACGCCGTGAACCATAGCTCGCTGCGCTCGCTCGCCAATGAACATTCTAGCACAAAGACTTAGTATTCTAGCACAAAGACATAGTATTTTATCATCAAAGACATAGTATTTTATCATCAAAGACATAGTATTGTACTTGTGTAGAAGAATTCTACCAATGTTCTTATTGGCTTTTAAAAATGTATATTAGCTATTTAGATTGTACATGGTGAAAAAATCAAAACATTAGGTGTCTTTGTAATAACATTACAAAGGTGACACCATATGATAAATTTGATCATGAATCCGAAAACAATATACGGTCCATTTCCAGGAGGTGGCTTTATGTGTGCTCCAAATGATGCAAAAGCAAGAGCAGAATTATATTCCCGGATATGATTTCGATAATTTCGTGCCTCAATCGAATTATCACTTAATAATTTTTGCAGAAACTCGGGAATGTCCATTAGTGTAGGCAAATTAATTTTTCCATCGTGGCAGCATTTCGTATATTTGCCAGAAGAATTCCTTTCTTTGGCCCAGAAGTAAGCATTACAATAACTACATTGTTCCGTCATTGAGCCAATATTATACTCTTCGACATCTACTGTTACATCTTGAACAGTTATTATTGCACAATCTACGTCTTCCATAACATTCCTCAACACTTTCTTGGGGCTCTTCGAACTCGTTTTCTTTCATTACGTTTAAAAGCCCTAGCAGCTTCACTAATATTCTGCATTTTAAAACGTGAAAATTCAATGCATAAATAAACGCGAAATATAAAAAAATTCAATGCATTCAAAACAAACTTTTAGACGTTTAGGTAGCTTCCAGTAGAAAAATATCAATTCAACAGCGGCCTTATAAAGCATTCTCACTTCAATTAATTAATTAATTACTAAATCAGTTTAAATTAAATATCATGTTTTTAGGGCATGAATCTGAATTGAACAACCTGATAATGCTCACTCTGGTTATTGTTTCCGTTTTTAAAAGCGCTATATGTTGAGCCAGTTTAAATTAAATTATATCATGTTTTTAGGGCATGAATCTGAATTGAACAACCTGATAATGCTCACTCTGGTTATTGTTTCCGTTTTTAAAAGCGCTATATGTTGAGCCACCTCAACTAGATTTGCCATGTGACATTTTTAGCAGCAATCATTTATCGATTTTCTAACGTTGCCATTCGGGGAGTTGTAATGAGGCTTTTTTTTGGTGCCGTGTAAGAGAAATATAGATTATTCTTCGGCTCTTTTTGTTAAAACTATGCTTCTAAAAAAGAGATGTGTTTTAATTGTGAATGTGACAGCTGTTCATTTCTTCATCCCATCTCGTTTGTTTAAAGTTTATTTTGGTTTAGAGTTTATAATTGTCGTCCGTGGCTCCCAGCTATGTCCCCTTTTTAAATTATCCTATAAAACATATACTTTGATGATCACCTAGCTACACAAATTATATTACACAAACCACCATAGGTATGAATTCAAGGTATTTCTGCATAGTCGGCAGCAATTACTTCCATCTCAGTCCTGAGATAGGACAGAAAACTATTCTTAATGCTCCATTACACGCTGTACTACTTCCTCACGCACCTATCGATTTTCAATTCTGTCACCAATAATTAGTATGACAATATGCGGTGCCATAACACTTTTTATTTTATTATTTCTACCTTCCTTTCGGAAAGGATAGAAAAGTAAATCTAAATAATTATTTCGTTACTAAATTTTTATTTTCCTAAATTCACAAAATTATTCTAAATACTTAACGTATAACTAACTATTCAACACTACATAAATTTTTACTTATGATAACGTAATAAAATTAATGATAACTGTAGTGCTATCAATAAATAGAGATATATACTAGTTATGGCGCTACATAAGAGAAATATTTATATATCTGAAACCGACACCGATAAGCAACG